AAACAAAAAAACAAAAATAAAGTGTGTATATATATATATATATATATATATATATATATATATATATATATATAGTCACAATAATTACATCTTTGCCTGCTGTTATCATTCCTAAATTTTCGCCATCAGAGAACATGACAGAAGATGACCAATCTTTTCCTTCCAGCACAGCAATTCCTGTTACTATAAGCGTTTCTGCATCAATAATTAATAATTCACTCTGTTTTCTTGGTGCGCATTTGAAGTATAACGAATTCTGTAAATAGAATTTTGTATAAGAGATACACATTATATATATTATTGTATACTTAAACATATTAATGAATAACTAACATTAGCATAACCAAGCCATCCTGTTTCTGTTGGATAAAAATCTGCTTTATGTATGTATATATGCCCCCATATTGTACCGCCGTGGCCACTTCCAATTTTCAACAAACCACGAGATGTATGCAAATATAAGTACTTTCCATCGCTCACAAAACTACGTTCATTCAATACCATATTGTTCATCTCATTTGGTAACTTAAGCGTAGAGGTATATATCTTCGAACACTTGGGAACTCCATATGTAATCCAATCTGGTCTTACGAGTTTACCTAACAAAATAGCATGAACACTTCTCTGCAGAGACGTTAGCACACATGGCATCTGAAACACAAAACTAATTTTATAGTATACTATATTGTATTATATGGCAAAATAAATATTATAATAATATCTGTACAAGATACCTGAATATTTTGTATCGCTAATGCTCTGGGAGACATAAGTAAAGCTGCTATTGCTGCTAGCAAACGCCCAGTATCTCCTCTAACCACAACAAGGCTCAACAAACATGCGCAAGCAACAGCTGTCAAATGACTGCCATCATTGGCTGCGGCTGATTCAGGACCATGAGATGTTGCAAGATCCAGTAATAAATCGAATAGTGGATCTAGAAATGGATTATTAAAAAACATTTCGAATTTGTCAATTTATCAAATTTAAATCTTAATATTCAAAGATACAAACCAATAACGTCGTCTGGTTCAGATTTGAGGCCTTCTGGTAGTTGTCCTTGTAAAACATCTAATAAAGCCGATAACGCCTTTGTACATAAGATTGGATCAATTGTTCTACTCTCGCGCATCAATGTAAAAACACTTCTTAAACCAATACCTACAATCTTTATAAAAAAAGATTTATGTTACACAGATATTATGTTATACATATCTTTATCAAAAAGATCTATATTATAGCTATACATATACTATTTACAATATTACGATACAAATTTGGCATAAATAAATATCGTAATAGTACATATAAGCTAATATAGACATTAAACAAGTGCAAAATGTTTTTTTACCTTTGGTAAATTCTGTATAGTCGATATTCTATCTTCGTCATCACTTTCTGTATCTATAGTGTCACTAAGATCCGGTGGTGGAGAATTACAGTTTGATGTTCTATAAACTTCACTTGACAATTTTGAATGTTTTTCTAAAATAGCATTTCTCACACTAGCAAACACAGCAAATGCTGAGGCATTACAAGATGTTTCTATCTCTGGTAGATTATTGTAATTTAATTCTCCATTTAAATCAATCTAAACACATATAAAGAATGTCAAAATCTATTTTACCCTAATCTAGAGGAGGGTAACGAAATTGTGACCATTATAATTGCTAATACCTTTTTCTTGTCCCTTTTACGAACAGTTTTATGTTTTTTACATTTTCTCCATTCTCCCTTATTCCTATAATATAATATTACTATAATTTAATCCTTCATTTAAATTAATTTATATCCTTAAAATACAAATGTATGTCAAAATATATTTGAATTATATATATAGCGCAATAATCACACACAAAATTTTATTTTAATTATGTAACAAAATTATTAATGTTTTATTATAAAATATAATAATACATGTACATATATAATATTATCACAAAAAAAATTTCTGTTTATTCTTTGTGAACAATTTCTGAGGGAATAAGTCATTCTGTATATATGACTAAAACTTTTAATATTATAAGCAAACAACAACAGGAGGTCTCATAATCTCGGAAATGAAACATATTGAAATGTCTAAATCAAGAATAAATAAACAAGAAAAAAAATAAGCCTGAATAAACAAAAAATTTGAGGTTACGTTCTAAATCGATAAAACGCGTCTATGACATGTTTAATTAACGCCACTTTATCAGTAAAGAATTTTATTCAACCAGAAATGAAATTATTTAATTCTTTTGAATTATCAACCGGTGGTTGACAATCGGAAAGTCGATTAACGGTGAAGTCACCGCTGATCGCGTCGAGTAAACAAATCATAAAAGAGGTTATACGCCAGACATTCGAGAATCGTACCTTTGCGCCTCGGCATTTTTGAAGAGATCGTAAAAACACTTGGCGTAGTTTTCAGGATCAGGCAACAGCCTCTCGTTCTCCCCGGACACCATGATTCGCGGGAAATTCTCGGCGTATATGAGTCACCAAGTCATTTTCCAGATACTATTGATCGTTGACTATCCGTCTAGCCGTCTTCTTCCCATGCGATGACATTACGCATCCCGGAATTCTGGAAGAAAGATATTCCGGTAGACGCGCGACGTCGCCGCAAACGCGAAACACAAATCTCTCGCGATCGGCCGGCGTTTTTACTCCCGTAATTATCTCTTAGCGTGATTCAAAAGTGAAACCTCTTTCGCTCCGTTTCGCGTGTGTTGACGGACGTACCGCGAGTACACTTTTGGCGCGACTTCGATAATCGAAGCGATAACCGCGACTCGGCGCGAACTTCGTAAATAAGAGTGCATACGTCGTCGCGCACGCGACAGATTGACAGATGAATATTTCAACGTGGACGCTAAATGTCAAGCACGTCGCATACTGCGCACACGTGCATACATATACATACGTCATACGTATATTTAACGAAAGCCGAAACATTTTGCGATAGCGTCCTATCGCTATAGGAAATCAAATATCCTATATATATTATCACGTCATATAAACACGTCATATACATACGGAACGTATATATTTGGTCACGTCAGAGGAATGTTTATTATAACATGTTATATAGGCCGCAGATGTAAACAAAGAAAATATCGTGATACAAAACATATCAATTGAAAATATTTTCACGAAATCTGTAGAAGAGGTTTAGAGTTTATCTGTTTATAGTTCGCGAGCAGTCGGTTCTACGAATGTCAATATTACACGTCTAAATGTCAGGGACGATTTTTTTTTATCTACTTTAAATAAGACGAGAAGAATTGGTAATCTTTTTCACAGTACACGCGCCAATTAATTTGTTATCGTGTTCGAGGGGGGAAATGATGAAAAAGATCTCGGTTTATACAAAATATCAGCTTTCGTTTACGCGTGCGTCTCACACCGAATACAAAATGCGATACGGCACAATCTACACGAGATTGTCCAGGGAACAATTCGATAACGTGTCACGTCGAGATTAGGGGAGCCATTCGTGTAACCCTTACAAAGTATGAGCAGAAAGTACTTACTGCCGCGGAGCGCGAGACTGACAGAGTAATATCGAATAGGATAAAATATACACATTCCGCATTTTGTGTTCTATGTGGTGAAATTATTGTTGTGATAGATTATCGAAAACACATAACCTCAAAAGCGAAGAATCTCAGTTCGATTCATTTCTAATTAAATACCGAAGAATTCTCTAATCATGTGAAAAAGTGATATATATAATTATTTTTTAAAGAAATTATGAAACATACACACGATTCATATTTTTATAAAGATACAAATAAAATAAATTGAATATCTATATGTATATTGTTTCATGAAATGTATCTTGTTTTTACATGAAATCTTTTTTAATTTTCTATAGATTAGCAAGGAGGAAGCACGCATGATTAAATAGATGTAGTTACAAGCTGAAAGGCAAATTGTAATGAATAAAATTTAAAACGTGCAACACTGCGTTTAGTTTGCATTTAATCACGAAATTGTAATGTTAAAGTGACATGAAGCAGATAAAAGTATGCTTATAACAGAATATCATCTATATATGGTAAAAGGATATGACTTGTCATGATATCATCCTTTCGGTAAGTAACATTAATCTGAATTGAATTATATGTTTTGCGAAACAGTATTTGTTATTTTCAAGTTGTTTATTTTCAGCCTAGTCGAATGCAAGATTTGATAGTACACTTGTATCACTGTTCTGTAAATGTAACTTAAACAATAGGTAATAACACGGTAAAGTTATTATTGCAACAAACTTGTGGGAATGGGCAATTGTTTGTGTAAAGATTCTCCAGAGCTTGAGATATACGGCAGTAATAATCATGCACAAACTCAAAATACCATATTACCAGAACCAAACATAAGTTTGGTTTCATCTAGCGATTCAGCATCTTCTACTTTTAAGTTTCCTACATCGGCAAACATTGACAAACTTGTATTAGAGACACTTGGAAGTCTTGATACTCTGGTAGATAAGTAAGTAAAAGACATCTCATAATACATGCCAATGTATTTGTTTTCTATCTTTTAATGTGGATTTATATGTATACATTTAGCGATCATGAACCACCACCAGCAATGTTAAAATTGAATGCTATTGCGGACAAGGAAGATGGTTGGATACAAGTAGTTAGCTCTATGGTCAATGTTATTCCAATGCACAATCCATTAGGACCTTCTGTTATAATATTACTATTAGACGATTGCCCTTTACCTTCAAAGGTTGGAATTTATTTGTATATTATAAAAATCAAGGCTCTCAAATAGCAGTAATAAAAACAATCATTTCTTCATATGATAGGACTCTGTGCTACGATTATCACACATGTTTCAACTATCTCAAAGACTTGGGCAAATACAAATTACAGCTACACAGCAACGCAATATATGTGTCGTACTTGGTTGCATCGCAGAGAAACTTGCTGGTCCTAGTAGTATAGCGATATTATCTGATGCCACTTTAGATTACCTTGTTTCAAACTTGGTATGTTAAATTTTATATTTAATTAATTTTAGAATGTCCAATAAAATATCCATGTCAATTATTTTCAACATGATTTTATTTTTCAGCGAGAAGATATTGAACCTTATGTAATGTTATATTCTTTAATAGCTCTAGAAAAATTTGCACAAACAAGTAAGCAAAATACAAAATAATTAAATATTCCCATTTTTCATTTTAATCAACGTGCAACTAATGCATTAATAAATCAACAGGTGAAAATAAGGTAACTATTAAGAAACGCCTTATGTCAGAAAAACAAAATCCATTGTTAGAATTGGAAAAATGGGCCACAGAAACACATTATGTACGTCGTCAAGTTGGTTTCTGTGCACAGTGGTGTTTAGATAACTTATGTAAGTATAATTAGCTCAAACTCTCTCTCTAAATGTACTATGATTAACTTGTATCACTTTACAAATAATAATGTATTTAATTCATATTTGTTAGTCTTGATGGAAGGTAGAAAATATTCTCACGATTCGGTCGACGTGACGGGTATTAATGTAATGTTAAATACAAAGGATGTAAGCGAGTACCTGAAAATATCACCCAATGGTTTGGAGGTAGATATTCTGCAATACTATATTGTATCTTCCCGAAATTAAATATTTATTAATGTTTTATTATAGTCATTTTAATCGAATGATAATCTATTGTCATTTCAGGCACGATGTGATGCCTATTCATTTGAAAGTGTACGATGCACATTTCAAGTAGATTCAGGGATATGGTATTATGAGACACTGATAATAACTACAGGAGTGATGCAAATCGGATGGGCTACAAAGGATAGCACATTTCTAAATCATGTAAATGATTTGTATCCATATCTCAGAATATTTTTGATAATTTACATAATTGTTGAAAATAGTATTTCCATCTCTATTATTAAATGTAACAATTTTTATCATTTTATACGCGGGTACATAACATTATTTTTGGTTTTTTGGTATTAGGAGGGATACGGTATAGGAGATGATGAATTTTCTTTGGCCTACGATGGCTGTCGCAGACTGATTTGGTATAATGCACGAAGTGAAAAATTTCATGACAGACCATGTTGGAAATCTGGTGATATTCTAGGTTGCTTATTGGATTTAAATAAACTAGAGATAATATTTTCAATCAATGGTATACCTCTTAAACCGTGCATTCAAGTATTTAAAACAGTAAGGTACATATCTACTTTTCTTTAATGTCACGTCATCCAATTTTTCCAAAGATTCAAATAAGACTACTTATCGAAAACATTTATGGATATTTCTAGGTCTGGATTCTTTGCAGCAGCTAGTTTCATGTCATTCCAACAATGCCTATTTAACTTTGGAAATGCACCTTTTAAATATCCGCCTACAGATCGAGAATTTCAGAAATTTAATGATTATGCTACATTGAAACCAGAAGATAAAATCATACTTCCCAGACACATATACTTAGACCAATTGCGAAGACTTAGTGTTAGGGAAGATTCTTGTACATTATGTTTTGACCAGAAGGCATCAGTAAGGTTACTGCCATGTAACCATAGGTAATATATAATTGTACTTAAATTTTTGAATTATATAAATTTCTACGATAATGTAATGCAATAATTGATTTTTATTTTTGCAGAGGATTTTGCCAAAGGTGTTCGAAACAGTTGATTGAATGCCCAATGTGTAGAGCTACTATTGAAGAAGTCGCCTCAGATAACATATGACATCAATCATATCATATCAATAATATTTTCTTTCATTACTTCTCTTATATCATGCAATTTTTATGGCATTGTCTCGAAATAATAATTATACTAAACAGTTTGTGCTACATATTGCATACAGTTATCACATGTCACATATTTTCCTTGCGATACAATTCATTAATAAATAAAAAGGATTACAAATTAATTATAGATGAAAGAATTTTACGATGATGTATTACAAAAAAGATATGAACAAATTTTTGTTCTGAAAGTCAAAGGACTCTAAGCGTAAACAAATGTTTTACTGAAACAAAGCATTCTCTTTGAAACACTTTTCCATACTTCTCCATACTTTTTCTACTATATAGATTTATAGAAAAGCATTGTTTGTGATTTAAATATGATTATCCTCAAGATATATTAAAATGATGTATATAATTGAATATACATTATATAAATATGACTAATGAAGAGAGAAGCAAATAGATGAAAAAAAAACAATTAGAAATGGATGGAAGAAGAGCATAAATCAGAGAGGAGAGCCTTTATTAAAAAAAAAGTTATGTTTCTAGGCACTTTCAAATTGCCTATATTTTAATAATGACTGAATCATTCAATTTTTTTTAGAGAGATTATTTGTGTTCACTCTTTTTCTTTAATTTAATAATTTTTTCTATTAGAATTATATACGAAAAGTTCAGATTATTTGCAAACTATTTAAATTCTTATTTGATAAGTTGCGTAAGTAAACATAACTATAACGATGTAATGTAAATTTATCTTTATAAGAAATTGTGAAATATTGATATAGTATATATTACGCTAAGATAACACATACATTCGCATACATACACATATATTATATTCTTGGGACGATATAAAAAAAAATTAATGTTTTATCATATACATGTATTTTTCAAACATTTTTTTATAAAGTCTTATTTTTGTTATCAATTACCTCTCCCATTATTTTAGCGTAATTCCTATATGTCTAATAAAAAAGCAATAGTTTTCCAAACAAATGTAAACGATAAATTTACTCACCAGCCACATTGCACTGCCATAGTATTGCTATTGCGTTATTTATCACCACTTGGCTGTGTTCCTAAAGATTAAATTAAAATGTAATTAGTATATTATGTCAAAATGGATATTTTGTTAAATATTCTTATTCTTAATTTCGAGAATTCACAAATTGGATTTATATTTACTTTTTTTGATGGAACATATATATATATATATATATATAAATTTGATTTTTTCTACCTCGCGTTGACACGATTACATTTTTTACTTATCTCCCATCGTCGTGAGAATTTACAATGGATTTTGCATTTATCGCTTTAATTGCCGTATATATAAAAATCCATTTTGTTCATAGT